GGGGGGGGGGGGGGGGGGGGCCTTCTATTATAAGAATAAAGGACTAAACGAGGATATGAGTTCTGCCGGCATATGGTTTAGGATTTGGGGCATCTGGAGATTGAAAAAATTACTTAGAAAATTCAGCATCGGGAGTTGTTTCCAGTGTTACCTGGAAGGGACTGTCATCAACGTTCTCATACAATGGATATTTTTGCCAGCTGCAAACGAACCCATGTCTTCGATTCCCAGCAAGTGCTAAGCCCTAAACCCTAAACCCTAAACCGTTCACAACACGAGACTAAGCTTCAAAAACAAGTTCACTCATAAATAAATGAACATGTCACACTCTGCAGACCTGTGAAGCCCTTTCAATGCCATGTCCTGAAATGCCAAACAGCCCCAAATGCAAACTTTCAAACTTACTGTAGCAGTGTCTGTGAGCGCATCAGCAGTTGCAACGGAGATTGTTGGCCGACCGTGGCTCACACCTCCGCTCTTGACCATCCTGGCCGTGACAGAGCCGTCGATCCCCTCCAAAATGTTAACCTCAGATCAGAGACACAGCCCCAAACCCTAAACCCTAAACCCCTAAACCCCTAAGCCCTAAACCCCTAAACCCTAAACCCTAAACCCTAAACCCTAGGTACAGAAGGTGGCAGAGCCAGGATGACACAAGCACTTCTTCAGCCAAGCTGCAGCAGATGCTGGGGCACCAAACGGGTTACCTCCAGCTTCCCACTGCCATGCTTGCTTTGGTGCACGCAACACAGCATGACTCAATGACTGCGTGGGATAAGATGTGCCTTCAGCTATGCTTCGTGCAACTACTCGCTGTAGTTGATGGCCAAGAACTCCGAACAGGAGCGTCACAAGGCCTGCCTGCAGGAGAGCTGGGCAGAAACGCACATGTGATGGGGGTGGTTTGCCTTAACTTAAGGTACAGTACTGGCTTCATGAAAGGCTCACCACAACAAAAGCGCCTAGCAGCTTCCTACAGTACAACCCCCTTGACTTCCCTGCCCTCACACCCTAAACAGGCCCCAAACCCTCAACTAAACCCTAAACCCAAAACCCTAAGCCCTCAGCCCTAAGCCCTAAACTAAACCCTAAACCCTAAACCCTGAACCCCAAGACTTCCCCAAAGCCCCGCTGCCTGCTCCAGGGAGGCCAAGGTCAAGAGCAGGGCCACGGCGTCCGCCGGAGAACCGGTGAGGTCACGGCACTCCGACAGCAGCCGACAGGCCTGGCTGCGAGACTGTCTCTGGGCTCTAAGTTGGTATGATACACTGTGATATCATAACAGTATGCCCGACAATAAAACACCGTGTAACAAGTCACATTACGATGCATGTTCAGGCTTCTCTCTGTGTTACCACTTTCTACCTTGCCTGTTTGCTCCATCTACTTCTTTATTGTGTTTCTCGACTTATACTGATTTGCTTCTCTGCCTGTACTTCGAGTATTTGTTCATGTATGCTGATGTGTACATACTCAGGTTTGCTTCATTCCTTCTTCAAGTGGATAATGATGTTGTTCGCTGAACCACCAACAGCGTTCAAAGGCCTTGAAGAACAATTACAAGTAGGAGTGTTGCGCGGTAGTCCCTATATAGCTACATTCGAATACACGCCAAAGCTCCCCACCAAAACCCTCAATCACCAGCAAGAATGTTCCCTGACAATTACACTCTTATATACCCCAAAGCCCTGTTTTGATAGCAATATTCCCTGAGAATGATCGCCGTTGAGTTAAACTACGTGTGCCCCAAGTCTTGGCTTCGATCGAGCCTGCTGCCAAGACCCGGCCAGGGCACAGGCGCCAAGGGCGGCCCCAACAGCCTCGCTGCAAGAAGGGCTTCAAAATTTAAACGAAAACTGTCAACGAGGGGGGGGGTTAAAAAAAAGAAAGGTGCTTTTCCTGCTAAACTTTAGGCTTTCGGATTGAGGCCTGGGTCCTTGGGATTTTTAGAACTCAGAATTTGTCGACCCGGGGTCTCTGCGGCTGAAGGGCTTTTAGGACACCGTCTGCGCAGGGTGTCGAGGTTGGAGGCTCCTAAAACCCTGAAACCCTAAAATCCTAAAACCCTAAAGCCCTAAAACCCTGAAACCCTAAAATCCTAAAACCCTAAAGCCCTAAAACCCTAAACTACAGAAAGTTAGGTTTTGGTAGCTGCTGCAAGCCTCCCGGCCGTCCTTCGCTTGTGGATTCACAAGGAACGGGGTGAAGGACGGGGATCTGCACTGTGGCTCCAACATATCATAGTCTATTATAGTATATCGTAGTACATTAAAGTATATCATAGTATATTCTAGTATATTATGGTGTATCATACCTTCCGGCACGACAGCTCTGACTCTCGCCCCTACCGGGTACCCGAGAATCCTGGAGATCTCCTTCCAAGTGCTTCCCTTGGTGCTCCCCCGCCTTCAAGTCCGGCTTCAGGTCGACGTTGAACCTCAAAGCTCTTGAAGCTTCATGGGTAGGGATGTGCGTTGCAAGTATGTACCTATAGCCCCCCATCAAAGTGAATCCCTGCTTAGCGCAGTACCTTGTGGCTTGGCCCCAAACCATAAAACCCTTATCAAAGGCTGGCATCATGGAGGTTGCCCAGGCGTTCAGGGCAGGCAAGCTCAGGCATCCAAGACATCTGTGGGGCACATAGCTCCCAAGCTGACCGCACAGCAATAACAAAAAAGAGCAAGACCGGCAACTGCACCTACAGTCACGGGAGTTTTCCTTGCTCCCCTCGAAACCACAGAGTATTCTCCCAGCCCTGGGCTCCCAGCATCTCATCCAGCAGCAACAGTGCATCCTCCCAGCGCCTTGCCTGGAAAATGTGTGGAGTCTTTGGGTTCCGTCGGGTGTAGCTATGCGCCGAGTTCTGCTCTGAACCTGACACTATGGAAGCAGACAAAATCCAAAGGCACGTTTGCATTCTGCAGCCTTTCTGATAGCATTTCTTCGCGTTGCCACGCCGGCACATTCCTTCTTGTGAACCGGATGCAAATCTGAGGCTCTAGGACTCTAGGCCTGTCTGGGTCGGAAGGTTTGCCGTGCCAAATTGGAGCAGACATTTTGCCCGCTTTCCTGCACATTCCGGCACCTGACAAATCGTGAATGAAGAGGCGCAAAGACTAGAAGACGCGGCATGGGGATTGGCATCTCTGGGGCTGGCGACCCGTCCACATCGGGCTGATGACTTGCATCTTTCTGAACACATGTTTCGGAAGGCTTTTGCCCTTCATGGAGAAAAGAACTTATCGCGGAGCAGTTTGGCAAGTACTTAGTGGCCAGGCGGGTAGCTCGAGGACGCCCTCGGAGGAAGGCTGACAGTACGCGCGCTCGATTGCCTAGAATCTTAGAACCCTGAGAAGAACAGCACCATTCAAGCCGAGTCGTCCTTTAAAGGCCATACAGCTGCCAGCTGGTGCATCCTTCCACCCACCATAGCACATGTGATGCCGAGGTCAGGATACCTGTAGGAGAAGTCATGTCTCGCGGCAAGCTAGCCGAGCAGTGCAAACATCAAGGCAAACGGAGTATACTTATACTGCGTGTCTGACGTGCTGTATAGTCAGTTGTCACAGATACGAGGAGAAACGAAGGACCACAGGCCGCAGAACGACAAGAAACAAATATGGGCAGAGTCATCTTTTTGCTTTCCAAAGCACAAAGACTCCACCAGCGTCTTCACGGAGCAGCCCGTGTTCTCCGGCACGGTTGTTAAGTTTAAGTCAAAGAGCGCATCCTCTGCCTCGCGGTGGTGGCATTGAAGGTGAACATTTAACCAGACGCACTCTCGGCGAGATACTTCGGCTTCATGGTGCCAGGCGTACTTGATGGCGCTTCGGATGGCAGCAATGGAGAAGATCTTGTACATGGCTAACTCTGCGGCTTTCACACTGGTAGCATTGTAGGCACCCCCATGCATGTTGATGATGATGAGGCCGTAATTCAGAATCGGGACTGCCTCCGTGTGTGTCGAGGCGCCATCGGGAAAGTCGATGTCACGCTTCCAATAGAACTCGTAGGGCGAGTGGAGGTTGCCAGGGGCAGAACCCGTGTAGCCATCGCCAATCACTGGATCGATATTGCCGATGTAGAAGGCAGCACCTTCGTCCCAAGCATAGGCTGCTTGATCACACACTGCCGAAAAGAGTCCGCCTTGCCCTCACAAACACGTGTCCCATCCAAGCATGTGATAATGTAGCCATGCCACACAGCATTCGTCCAGCCATACAAGCTGGCGGCACCGCTGTAGAAAACCTTACATCTCGGGGAGCAGATCTTTAAAGCATCCAAAAAACCCTAAACCCTGAACCCCAAATAAACCTAAACCAAAACTCTTTCGGAGTCTGCGGTTCTGCGAGGGGACGTTGGTGCGCATTCCATCCACAGTCATGTCCTTCTGCGCCAGGTCCTGGAGGGTTCAAGAACAGCATAATGCAAAATCGAATCAAGCAATCCAAAAAACTACAACATGGTAGGCTACACTATACGATGGTATGATACGTTATAGTATGCTACAATACAAACACTACAATAAACAAGGTATATCATACTAACATCGTATAGCATACTATAAATTAGTGTAGTATACTATGATGTACTGTAATATACTATAGTACACTGTAACATACTATAATATACTATAATGTACTGTAGCATACTAGAGTATATTGCATGATACTACGATATGCTATGTTATGCTATTATAATGGATTACCATATGCTCATTTTTAAATGTACTATAACATGTTCATAACATCCTACAATATACGTTGAAATACTAAAATACACTGTAACGTATAAAAATATACTGTAACATACTGTAATTTGCTGTGATATGCTATACTATACTTTCGAATAATGTAACACCACCATATACTGCAACAAACTACTGTCCTGGAGAGTTCGCATGTTCCCAGCCCTTTGGAAGAGAAGTTGCCCTCGGTGCACACCTGCTTGGCTAATGCGTAGTTCAATGGGGTCTCAGCCAAGTACCTTTTGAATCAGCTTAACATCCCGATTGATGTCCACGTGTTCCGTGACGTTGACAGCACAGAGGCCATCAGAAAGCTTTGGACAAGAGTCCACAGGGGTGCAAGCCCCTGCCTCCGCACCTGCGACCACCAGGGCCGCAAGCATACAGTGCATGGCTGCCATCTCGCAAGGCGCGTTTGTGTAGGGACTACGACAATCTTTTGCAATCTGAGCCGACGGCCTTTCGAATTCTGCGCCAGCTGATGCCATAATTATTACAGACCCTCTGCAGCAACACATGGAAAAGCCGAGCATCTGGGATGGTCTTTCAGCATCATCCGAAATCCCAGTCCCCTTCGTGTCGTCCCTGGTCAGAGTGGTGCCTGCTGCAGACTGAGAAGACCCTCCGAGTACGACGTCAGGGAAGCCAGCGAGAGCCGACCTTCACAGAAGACGCAGACACTTTCGAAGCCTCCCTCTGACAAACTAGCTGGTATCCATTGCCATATGTACATATATGTATATACGCACATACATACATACATACATACATACATACATACCATACCATACCATACCATACCATACCGTACATTACATTACATTACATTACATTACATTACATTACATTGCATTACAATTCCATTGCATTACATTGCATTACATTACATTACAGACAGACAGACAGACAGACAGACAGACAGACAGACAGACATACAGACAGATTTACATACATATGTGTATGTATGTATGTACGTACGTAGGTAGGTAGGTAGGTAGGTATGTATGTATGTATGTATATGTGTATCTATCTATATATACATATATATATATATATATGTATATATATATATAAATACACGTGCGTGCATGCTGGCTTGTATAGATACGACTGTAATGGTACATGACAGCACATCTGTGCGTGCGTATATCTATGTGTATAAATATATATATATATATACATGTACACTCATTTATTTGTGTGTTTATTGTTTGTTTGTATGTGTGTGTGTGTGTATAAATGTAAATGTGTATGTGTGCATTTACACACACACACATATATATATATATGGTACCATATATATATATATGTATGTATATATGTATATATATATATGTTTATTTATATTTATGATTATTTATTTATATCTATTTATTTATTTCTACATATACACACAAGTGTATGTGTGTGTAGCAGTGTCACGGTAGCACCTCTAAGGGACGGCCTCCGAATCTCTGGGATCCGAGCGCATTTCCGCGAAGAGGGTCAAGGCTCGAGGCCACTGGTCGCCACGAAGGCAGGCAGCCATGGCCTTGGGCTCTGAGAGCTCCGGGATGCTTCTTTGAGGCGGAGCAGTTCAAGCTTCAGGGGTTTAGGGTTTGGCACTCGATGTTGAGAGTTTCGGGTTCGAATCTTCGGAGTTTCAGATCCATATTTGCATTTGCGCCGTCAGATTCCTACATCCTCACTCGGCGAGCCACTGCATTGATCGTGGTGCCGTCGGGGCGAAGGCGGTGTCGACAAGCTGCCTTGCCAAGAGTTGGGATCTAAAAGTTGGGTTTAGGAAACCGGGTGTAGGATTCGTCATCACGTAGGGTTAGAGGAGTGAGTATGGCTTCAAGTTTGAGGGTTCAGCGCTGCAGCACGGTCACGCCTTGAGCGCCGCCTGCTTTCGACCGCCACGCGCTGCCTCCTCCTACGGCAGCAACGGCGCCTGGTGCAGAATCCAAAGCGCGCCAGGCCAGTGGCGGCCTCAACGGGATCTTGTCTTGAGCCGCTTCAGAAGACCCACTGGATTCGAACCCAAGTTCAGTCCAGACCCCGGACTAAAAGCTCTTTTCTATCATGTCAATCATATCAGATCATATCATACTATATTATGTTATACTGTACTGTATCATTATCATATTATATGGTATCATATTGTATTATGTTCTAAAGCCCCAGGCCTTTTTCGCAAGCGCTGGCAACCTCAGGACTTTCGAGCTCGAGCAGCAGTCGGACTCCTGCTACAGAATGACACAGAAAGTATATGATTTAATAGTATATGATGGTATCCCTATATTATGGTTTATTATTTAATAGTATATTATGGTATCCCCTACAGAGACTTGCAGAAGCACGTACATACATCAAGATAAACTCTGCTCAATTCTTATAAAGGATCTCACAGAATGCGCAGGAAGATTGCATATAGTACCCCTTCTATACACCCTCATGGCAACCTATTGGGCTCTGCTCGGCGACAGGGCTCTGGCCGCGTTCAGCAACACCACATTGGGTTTCACCTTTGCGGCCTGGCTCGTGTGGTGTAAGGGCATCTAGACAGGTTACCAGAAGGAGCTAGAAGGGGTACCGTAAGGGTATAGGGCTTAGGCCGTCAAGGCTGTTCGGCTTTAGGATTCACATGCGGCAGGGCTTCAGTAAGGAGGGACACGGGTTCTGAGGCTCCTAACCTGGGGTCGAAGGCTTGGGTCCCTGAGCCCTAAACCCCCAAAACCTCTCAACCCTAAACCCATGAGCTTTCTGTGGATGTGCGTTCTGGATCGTTCATGGACCCTCCGACAGCTTGGCCACGGAACCCGCTCCAGCCTCAAGGGACTGATTGAAAAGGCAGCAAGGGTCCCAGGTTCCAGGATTTTTCCTCTTCGAGATATCTGGGAAGCCCCGGGGCACGGAGGGACAGGAGATGAGGCCCCTGGAAGCTCCCGAAAAGCAGAAGGATGCAGGCCTGCAGCCGGACCTCGAGGATGTAGATGGCCTCTTCCCACAGACCACCCTTCTCACACCTCGGGCAAACTTCACAGCGACTGGTTTGGGAACACCCTGTAGCATGTAGGAGGGGTATACGAGCAATACAAGCACCCTCGATGTCTGGGTTTTCCTGGCAAAGGCTGCCCAAAAGAAATCCCTCTAAGGAGGCTGATGCAGGCGAAGGGCGCCGTCAGCGCTGCGCCAAAGCTGACGATGTCCGGCTGAAGGTCCGTCGCCTTCCCGTGCAATACCCCGTTCCGGTGAGGCTCATATGTACCGCGATAGTATACTAGTATATACTATGACAACTATAGTAGATTATATGACCTACTATAATAAACTATAGTATACCATCATATGAAGGCATCATTATCTCTCCTGCATCCTCGGGAGGCTCGCCTGAATCTCATCAAAGAGCTGCAGGGCCTCTCTGACATGCCGGCCCTGCCAGAAAGCAAGGGGGTTGCTGCAGTTCTTTCGTCAACTGAACCCTAAACCCTAAATTCTAAACTCTAAGCCCTAAACCGCATGAAGCTTCCGCAAGCTTACAGTCTCGGATTGAGTGCCTTGCTCCGTCGTTGCGGGGATGGGAATCGTTCTTCTTAAGGGAGCTAATTTTAAGCTACCATAACAAAGAAACCATATGATTTACTATAGATCCCTCTTATGACCCAGTATCCCCTCATTTGCAACTGGAAGCTGAAGCGATGATGAATTGCTCTTGCTGTCTCATTCCGGAGGCAAAAAAGCATCGCAAAAGCCCTAGACCTTAAAGCCCCAAACCCTGCACCCGAAGCTCCGAACCTCAACACCCCCCAACCCAGCCCTCAAATCTTCAAATCTTGAACCCCCTAAGCCCTAGAGCCCTAAAGCCCTAAACCCCAAAGCCCTAAACCCTAAGCCCTAAACCCTGAACCCTAAGCCCTAGAGCCCGAAAGCCCTAAACCCTAAACCCTAAGCCCTAAAGCCCTAAAGCGTCGGCTTTCCGGCCTTGGCGCAGGACGTCGTTGCCGCGTTGAAGGCGACGAGGCCGGCGCCCTTTCCTGGGTTACGGTTTTAAGGAACTCAAGTGGGTAACAAGGAAACCCTATTATTTTTGGACTATCATCCCCATTATGGGAACTTAAGTTAAGTAACTGTGATATGGAACTCCTATTATTTACCATGCATCCCCATTATGGTAACTTGAATGCAGGTTCCTTAACAGCAACCCAGTTTCGCTGGCGGAGCTCGTGCAGGAGGCCCAAAGCCTGGTGAAAAGGGTCTTTTGGGACCTTTATTCAAGGTTGTGTGAGGGTTTAGGGTGTGAGGGTGCTACATATAAGGGCCTTTTTTAATGGATCCAGGAGGGTTCTATAAGGCTGTTGATGTAGGGCTTTGCGTGTGGAGTTTATCGAAGACGCCATGCCCAGGACGGGGCCGATCCAACAGCGGAAGATTTCGGCTTGAAGCGTTCAGCATCTAGGCTGGCAATGCCTCAGCTACCACAAGTATCGAGGCCTCATCATCGTAGGATGCTGGGGCCAGCACGTGCCGCCACATGATGCTCGAACCGCAGGAACTGATTGCAGCCTCGTCCATGGCCAAAGTCTCTTTGGCGGGAAAGTTCATGAAAGTCAAAAGTGTGCAACAACGTTATCTTGACAGCTACTCGGAAGAAGAACTACCCGGCCCCACTCAGACCCCGAGCTGCGCCGAGGCCCTAGCATTGTAAGCCACATTGCTCGGCACCTGAGCCTGGGCGTGACCATGGAGGAGCTGAACCCAGGATCAAGCCTTCTTGGACTTAGGATCTAAAGGCTACCCTAAACCCTAAACCCTAAGCTACATTTGGGGCTTCTGGTTTGGGGATAAGGGTTTGTGGGTGCTGCGCCCTCTGGCGTTCTAGGGCCACTCGCCGCCCACCCTTCAACCGGCACCTGACCCGGATTGTTACGTTCATGGCAAACGTATCATGTTGAACTACCACTTTATTCGACATGTCTGTATATGTGTATGTATGTGTGCGCATGCTAGTATGTGTATCTATAATCATATGCTATAAAACCCTAAACCCTAAACCCTGTAACTTTACGGCATCAACGCACTTTGACGGAAACGTTGGCCCCTTACCTCTGAGGCTCCAGGCTGCTGCGATCTCCCGGAGAGCGTGCTGCCACTGCGCACCCCGCCTTGGACATTTTATTTTGGGGGGTTCCTCATTAAAGTTCTAGCAGTTATGGTATAATTAAAGTTATAGCAGATATGGTATCATTAAAGTTATAGCAGTTGTGGTATCATCTTGCCCAAAACCCTCTCCTAATGTTCCCGGAGACGAAGGAGATGTGCGGAGGGGAAGCCAAAGGGATCCCCGGCTTGAGGGATCGGGAAGGCTTATGTCCAAGTCAGACACCGCAGCTTGAGGAAGCCTCGGGAATAGCTGAGATACTGTGAGTTGCTGAAGCAAGGCCGCGGGGCTCCAAAGCAGTCATCAGCGAGTTATGGGTGATCGCGTCAGGGACCAGCTCCTGTCCAGTGGACAGGAGCCGAAACCCAACCCGTCCAGGTCCAAAGACCCATCTACAGAGTGCTGCCCGCAGATCTGCCATGGGCGGTCGTGTCACAGACAAGATCTCCTGCGGCATCCAGTAGTCTCCCTCAAGCAAAGCTACTCTGAAGCCTGAAACCCCAAAAAGATGTTGGATCCTTCTGAAATCTCGGGTTTCAGGGATCCTTCTCCGTCATGTCGCCCTCCAAGACGAGCGCCCATCTCCATTGTCTCCCCTTGCCACACCTGGTTGGCCACGACCCTTCCGGCTTCGGGGGTTAAACAATGATACTAACAACAATAATAATCATAGCTATGATAATGATTGGTAGCAGCAGCAGCAGCAGCA